GAGAGATTGAACCAGATATAGAAATCTGGGCAGGACATTCATTTTAATGACATTAATTCTACCCAGTAGAGTGAGAGGCAAGTCCATCCATTTGCACAGGTCACAGGTCACAGGTCACCCTCCACCTTTCGCAACAAGCCGGCCAGATTGAGTTTATAGAGGTTGCTCAGGTTACCATCCACCATTATGCCCAAATATGTGAAGCCTGTAAGCGACCATCTAAAAGGAAACTTATGCTTGATGGTATGATGGTCAAAGACAGACAAACGGTAAGATTTAGCTTTTATCAAAATGGACCTTACATCCAGAGAAATAACTATAATACTGTAGTAGGTTCTGTAAGTTAGAGAGGGGATGTTCTGGGTCCGTTAGAAATAAGATAAGGTGGTCTGCATAAAGTGATAACTTATGGGTTTGGGGGGCCCACCTCAAAGCCTTGTATGTCAGGGCACGTTCTAATGGTCTCAGCCAATGGTTCGATGGCGAGGGCGAAGAGGTGGGGCCTAATTGGGCAACCACTGTCTGTTCCCCCCTGTAGAGAGGGAAAGAGGAGGAAAGTAATAATCTCATTGGTAGCAATCCCAGCTTCAGGAAATTTGTAGAGTGATTTTATCACGTTTACAAACACTAATTTTTCCAAAACGCGAAAGAGATATGGCCATTCGACCCTATCAAAGGCCTTTTCGGCGTCGAGGGAGACTGCGACACTAGGTATTTTGTTTTTGTTAGCCAGGTGAATTATATCAAAGAACCTTCTGAGATTATTGGAGGACTATCTATTAATTATGAAGCCAGTCTGATCTGGGTTGACCAACAGGGGGAGGAATAACTCCAGTCTCTCAGAGAGTATCTTGGTGACCAGTTTACTTTCTGTATTAAGGAGAGAGATTGGTCTATAGGGGGCGCACTTTAGCGGGTTTTTACCCCTTTCTTGTGAATTACTGTAATCACAGCTTGAGAGAAAGACTCTGTAAAGCGGTTGTCCTCCCCGGCTTTGTTAAGTACCTCCTTAATGTAGGCTACCAACAGCTCCTTAAATTCTTTATAGAACTCTGGAGGGGAGCCATCCTCCACAGGAGATTTATTAGAAGGTAAATATTTAATGGCCTCCAACAATTCAGGGACTGAGACCTGTTCACTCAGGCGCTCTCCGTCTTCCTCTGACAGGCACGGGAGACAGACCTGTTCACTCAGGCGCTCTCTGTCTTCCTCTGACAGGCACGGGAGGTCGAGACAGGAAAAAAAATCGTTGATTTCTGGTAGATCATCGCTTGATTGGGAAGTATAAAGGTCCTCATAGTATTTCTTAAAAGTATCATTAATTTCAGTAGGGTCGAAAGACATCTTGTTAGTCCCGTGTAGCTCAGTTGGTAGAGCATGGCACTTGCAATGCCAGGGTTGTGGGTTTGATTCCCACGGGGGACCAGTATGAAAAAATGTATGCGCTCACTAACTGTAAGTCGCTCTGGATAAGAGTGTGTGCTAAATGACTAAAATGTTAGTAAGAGTTTCTATGGCATTAATTTTCCTCTGCTTTCAGTTGCCATGCCAATACTTTGTGTGCTTTCTCTCCAAGTTGGTAGTAACGCTGTTTTGATTTAGTGATGGCCCTCTCAGCTTGATACGTGTTCAGAGTATAATATTTCAGTTTTTTATTTATCAAAAGCCTGTATGGGTCTTTAATTGGGCCTCTGGTAGGTTTTCTCTCGCTCAGAGGTTTCAGATTCAAGGACATTTAGTTCGGCACCATGTTTTCTCTTCAACACTTTAGTATAGGCAATGATCTCTCCCCTCGGATAGGCTTTCAATGCGTCCCAAAGAATGAAACTGTCAGGAGCGGAGGGTTTGTTTTTCAAAGTAAAAATATTGATCTGCTCATTGATGAATGCACAAAATTCAGGTTGCTTCAGGAGTGTAGAATTTAGTCTCCATCTATGTGCTCCATTTACCTTGGTAGGAATGGAAATTGATAATACCAGAGGAGAATGGTCACTAAGCAATCTGGGGAGATAATCGGTAATCTAACACTATGAAACTGTTGGGTTGAAAACGTTATCTATGCGTGGGTGTGAATAAAAAGAGTAGTCCCTATCCTGTGGGTGCATCCGTCTCCAGACGTCTGGTCAATTGAGATCCTTCATGCATGACATGGTGAGCTTAGCGGCGTTTGGTTAGAGGGGAGGGTTTATCCAGAGGACCTATCAAGAACTGTATCTGAACAAAAATGAAAAATCTCCTCCGGCTAGTAGCCATTCTGGTGGTGCTTGAAGGAAGACATTCTGAATAAACATATGGTCATCGAAGTTAGGAGCATAACTATTGAATATTTTGCACCAAACAAACCTGCCTGAGGGATCAGACATGACGTTGCTGACACAGAAGGGGATGTGTCCACTTATCTAAATTGCTTAGTCCTCTTGCTTTGGAGTTAAAAGAGGACGCAAAAACTTGTCCTACCCATTCTGTCTTTAATTTATTGTGTTCACTGGCTGTAAGATGTGTTTCTTGTAAGAACACGTCAGCCTTTATTTCTTAAGGTATAGACTATTTTCCTCTTAACCGGGCTGTTAAGACATTCTACTTTGAATGTGATTCAACGTTCAGATTTTTTAGTGGATTAAGCATGGGTTGGGTTACAAATATATAACTGAATGGTAATCCCTCATAGACAAAATAGACGGCTACGAAAAATATAGATGAAAACTCTCTTGGTAGATAGTGTGGTCTACAGCTTATCATGAGGTACTCTACCTCAGGTGAGCAAAACCTCGAGACTACCTTAATATTAGACATTGTGCACCAGCTGTTATTGACCTCGTCTTACCGGACGTAGCTGTTCTGTCCTGCCGATGCACGGAAAACCCAGCCAACTGGATATTATCCGTGCCATCGTTCAGCCAGGACTTGGTGAAACATAAGATATTACAGTTTTTAATGTCCCGTTGGTAGGACAGTCTCGAACGGAGCTCATCCAGTTTATTCTCCAGTGATTGCACGTTGGCCAATAGAACAGATGGTAGAGGCGGGTCACCCACTCGCCAACAAATTCTCACAAGGCAGCCTGATTTCCTTTTCTTCATGCAAATGACGGGATTTGGGCCTTGTCTGGGAGCAACATTGTATCCTTTGTGTCACTCATTAAAGAAAAAAATGTTTGTCCAGTTCAAGGGGAGTAATCGCTGTTCTGATGTCCAGAAGCTCTTTTCGGTCATAAGAGACGGTAGCATCAACATTATGTACAAAATAAGCCCGTAAAACAGCAGCCATCCCGGTGTGACAAAACTGCACATTTTAAGAGTGGCACTGATGTTTCGTTCTCACCTTTCATTTACGCACTTTCCTGCACTGATATATTAATATTTCAATAAACATCTTTATGTTGCATTCAAGCCTCAGTTTTGGATCCATTCCTTTTTTCAGCTGTGTGGGTCTTTCTTCCAGTGGGACAAAACTGCACATTTTAAAGTGGTCTTTTGTCCCCAGCACAAGGCACACCTATGTAATGACCATGCTGTTTAATCAGCTTCTTGATATGCCACACCTTTCAGGTGGATGGATTATATTGGCAAAGGAGAAATGCTCACTTACAGGATGTTAACACATGCACTACATTTGAGTAATAACCTTTGTGCATATGGAAAATGCCAGATTTTGTTTCACCTCATGAAACCAACACTTTATATGTTGCGTTTATATTTTTGTTCAGTGTAATACATATATCATGCAAAAATATATATAATCACATTAAAATACATTTAAAATGTACTGGTTTGTAACTGTATAGCATCAAACAGTTACTTATATTCCTGGTTAATATACGAAATTCAAATATATTTGCAAAATAAATATTGCTAAATGTCTCATGCGCCTTGAGTCATTCATTACATGTGCTAAAATCATTTAGAGCAAAGTGGATTTACAATTTAAAAATCAGATGCTCCAACATTCTACACTAGATGGCAGCAGCACACCACAAAATAATGATTTCAGACCAGAGTTGACATTAGTTAATTTTTTTTATTGTACAGACTTCTCAGAATCCCCTGGAAAACCTGAAAGACAGAAATTCACAACATTAACACCAGAAAACAATCCAAGTTTCATGCAGCAAAATAAACATTTCAAATTGTTTGAGAGTAGGCAGATTTACACCCATAAAAATACTACGACTCCAGAAATCTAGTCAAGGGTTTCCTTGATGCCATGCAATAAAATAACATTGTGTAATCCAAGTTTCACTTTTAGGACATTGATCGATCTTCGGTAACAGCATGCTTACACTAGGGCACAACAAGCTGCTTTCAGATGGACTACACATTTTTTGCTGAAACTAAAAAAAGGTAGCTTTTTTAACGCTGAGCATGCCCGTTTAATCCAGTGAATTCGTAATATTTCCCCAACGAAATAGGAATCTCAGTGGAATACAATATGGCCCAGAATTACTATCTTTTGTGCCAGTGTACTGTAAAATCCACACCACTTTCAATTAACTTAATATTTGTAGTGCCAGTAGTTTACTGATGTGGTTTCAGACAAATTGGCTTATTTTTTTCAGACTGGTTTCACCAGAGTCGATAAGATGGGGAAAAAAGTTGAGCATCATTAACCACATTTTGTAAACTAGAAACTGGACACTTAAACGACACCTAGAAACATTTGACATTCAAGCTAATCAAGATCTTGACGATTCCATAACACCCAATAAAACTTGAAGGCGAAAAGTGTCTCCAGAACCTGTGTTTACTGACATCGGGGGGGTGCATCCCAATAATATATCATTTTAATAATTAGCTGGTTGATAAGCTGAATCAGGTTTTTGTTACAACTAGGGTTGGAGCGAATTCCTACAGGACGGTGGCTCGCCAGGAACGGGGTTGAGAGCCCTGGCACAAGTCCTACAACTTCTAAAAATGTCTTATCTCACCACAGCTTCTCTAGTTCATTCTCCTGATGAGTCTGTTGATCTGGTCCTCCCTGTTTCCAGCATCTCCTCCCTCCACAAAGTGAGTAGTCTTCTTGTTCATGCCACCGCGGGGTGTGGACAGCTTGAAGGGCCACAGGAAGTTGTTGGCAGGCTTGAAGTTCTTTCCGACCGTGTAGATCTCGTGTATCAGGTCCTCCACACAGATGATGCTGTATTTACCTGGAGGGAGGAGGAGGACAGGGCCAGAGTGAAGAGACTGCGCCATTCTTTAAAAAAAAGGGGGAAATCTGCAGCTCAAACAACTAAGCTGTTATCCCCGCCACTGTTTTAGTAAACAGCTGAGGGATGGGGAAATGTAAGAACTCAAATTAATAGACATTTGTATGGAAGGACTGACCATCCATGAGACCAATAATGACCATGATCTGTAGCAATTGCAGATTACCCCTTTAAAAATTGATAAAGATCTGTACAAAAATGGGACATCTACATCCATTAAATTAAGCATCATCCAAATGCAGTTTCCTATTCTACCATATCAGATTGAAGTAGCAGTCGATTTGCAATGTGGTTTCAGACAAATTGGCTTATTTTTCAGACTGGATTCACCAGAGTCGATAAGATGGGGAAAAAAGTTGAGCATCATTAACCACATTGTATACAGTTTCTATGACAGGGGAGAGGGGGCATCCTTCCCTAGCGTAGTATTTGAAACTGGCTTTCACTTCATACATATCTCCAGTCCCATATAACAGGCAGCCCAATTCTGATCTTTGTCCACTAATTGGCCTTTGAACAACCCAATGAGCTCTTGCCAATAATTGGCAAAAGATCAGAATTGGGCTCTGTGTGTAAAACACAGCCGTACAGTAGTATAATAAATAATAAATTAAAAAATGTATTCACTCACTAACTGTAAGTGGCTCTGGATAAGAGCGTCTGCTAAATGACTATAAATGTAACAGCGTACCCAGGGCCTTCTCGACCAGGGCGTTGTCTGTGAGGGCGATGCGCTGCTTGGTCATCCTGCCGTGGCCGCGCTTGTAGATCAGCTCGCGCACCGACTTCAGGTTGGGGTACCTGGGAGACGAGCACAACACTGTCAGTTATGTACTTTAGCACCTAGCTTATTGTTGCTATTTTAACTGCCTTCATTCTAAAATGCATGTTTTTATATATATATATTTTAAAAAATTATAGCTTTGAGATAGACTAATGAAAAGCGTTAAATTAAATGTATTATTAGCCACCGCGTAGGTTGTGTAGTCTCATTAAACCAGTGACAACTTACTACACCCAAACCAAAACATGAAATGGGTAATTTATACTGGGCACGCCACAGAAATGTGTGACTGGTTTACTGCAATTAGTGAGCGCCGTTAGTAATATCTCAATGTGGTTTCAGACAAATTGGCTTATTTTTTTTCAGACTGGTTTCACCAGAGTCGATAAGATGGGGAAAAAAGTTGAGCATCATTAACCACATTGTGTAAAACTTCCAGTCAATCACAGCGGTTTCAAATTGTACCCATCTACCTTAAAAATCACCGTCAGATTAATCTACACGAAAACAGAACCCACAGAATAGGGGTTAGTTATTCAAATACAAGCCTGGAGGTCCAGAGTACCTCTGGGTCTGTTCTAAAAATCGCACCCACCTGGTGTCCCAGGTCTAAATTAGTCCCTGATTAGAGGGGAACAATAAAAATTAGTGACACTGGCCTTGATACCCCCTGGAACCGGGTGTCCACATTAAAAGCAGATGGTCACGGCAGCCTTACCCCCAAGCGATGTAGGGCTCGGCGATCCTCAGCATGTTGACGGAAGCCTTGTTCAGTTTGACGAACACTCCGTTGAAGATCTGACGCAGACGCAGGAGCTGGAGAACCTTGCGCACCTTGGGGCTGACGCCGTTGATACTGGGAGAGAGCGAGAGGGGGGGCAAAGGAAGAGTAGTTACGAGTGTGTTCAGCACCCGTGTCAGTTCATTTCCTGTCAGTTTTGGTTTACATTCAATGTGGTTTCAGACAAATTGGCTTATTTTTTTTCAGACTGTTTTCACCAGAGTCGATAAGATGGGGAAAAAAGTTGAGCATCATTAACCACATTGTGTAGACATGGGGGTACTCCACTATTACCCTACGAGGTCCGGAGCCTGCTGGTTTTCTGTTCTATCTCATAATTAATTGCGCCCACCTGGTGTCCCAGGTCTAAATCAGTCCCTGATTAGAGGGGAACAAATGAAGTGGAACTGACTTCCAAGGTACAGAGTTGAGTTTGAGGGGTCTAGATGTTATAAAGACAGTAACGGTGACATTCACGAATAAAATCAGTGTGAAGGTAGATTTAACATTACATGCATCTTTTTTTTTTACCCAACACCAGAGTGAAATGGCGTACAAGCCACTGAGATACGGGCCAATCAGACAACACATGCCATTTAGCAGACGCTTTCATCCAAAAGAAACGTACCCCCTGATCCTGACGACGAAGGCGAGCTTGGGCTCAGCTGGGACGTAGAAGTTCCCAACCTTGCGGGCCGTCCGCCCCATGCGGATCTCACGCCTGTACATCTCCCTGTACTCCTTGTGGTACTTCTCAGCCCTCTTGTAGATCAGTTTCCTGGTCACCTTGCGAGTCTGGTGGGGATACAAACCAAGTGTGAGTCAGAGCACTAAAGCTGGGTAACACGTGTAGTTAAATTTCACAAGTTGCTTTATGCAATGTTTAATCTGATAGTGGATAGCTAAATCTTACAGCTGGGGGGGGGGCGTATTTAGGATAATTGTCAGTAGTTTCTTTCAATGTGGTTTCAGACAAATTGGCTTATTTTTCAGACTGGTTTCACCATAGTCGATAAGATGGGGAAAAAAGTTGAGCATCATTAACCACATTGTATAGAAGATTGAATTTCGGGGCATCCTTAAAAACTACTATAGGTCGGCTATTTCCCCTCACAACCAGCAGAAAGCCAAATGCCAGTCAGTTCTACGAAGTAGATCAACTGCATTTCAGGCTAAATCCTAAAACATTGTCAACGTGGAAGCCAGTTAACGAGTTCAAACTTACTTTTTTTTCGGCCAGCATCTTCTTGATGCGCATGGCCTTCATGGTGGCGAAGGCCTTTCGCCTTTTCAAAAGGCTCTCCGGGACCGCCGGAACCTTTTTTCTGCAACCCAGATCCAACACTTAGTTTAGAGGAACGTTTTTAAATCTGGTAGCGACTGGCAGTGTAATAAATAAAATAAAAACGGAGAAAACTCATGTCAAGGCTGCTAGCAACGTCAGCCCTACCTAGCCATTTCTGAAACGTGAGCCTGACTTGGTAACGTTAACTAGCTAACGTAGTCAGACAACGGACGGAGACAAATGCATTTTGTGACATTGTGGTGGACCAAACAGCAAAATAGTCCGAAAACATTCGCTACCCGTCAACGATATATCCGTAACACCAAGAGCCACGGATATATACCGTTAGCGTCAAACGTGCATATGCATTCGCAAGCCGGACATGTTTTTTCTGCCCACATCCAGTCAACCAAATGAACACAAATATCGTAGAGTATAAAAACGACATTCTCAACACTACTGATACGACAAACATGTTTGTTAACAGTAGATACACAATTTTATGTCAAATAACTTATGATGTTCGTTAAACTACTAGATGGATATAGATTCCAGCAGAGCACAAATCACTCACTCTGCGTCCGCCATTGTGTCCACCGAGAAAGAGACTCTCCCTCTTGCGCATGTGTGAGTTAAAGGACAACGGTCGGTGTCTATTAAACTGCCTGAGCAGAATTTGCTCTAGACCGTATCCACTATTTAATATAATTTAGCAGACGCTTTTATCCAAAGCGACTTACAGTCATGTGTGCATACATTTTTAACGTATGGGTGGTCCCGGGGATCGAACCCACTACCCTGGCGTTACAAGCGCCATGCTCTACCAATTGAGCTACAGAGGACCGCATATATCACAGATAGAAGGGTTAGTTATACATATCTTTGAATATATCTTCCAGTATATTTGGTGTTGTACTGTACTTCTGAGATTTGAAGGTGGCACCCAAAATTGATGTAAATTTTTTTAAATATATATTATATATTTTATTTTAAAAAATGTTTAAACAATATTCATTTACCAGAAATATATACTTATTGAATATAATTATAACTGGTTTTACAAGATTTTGGATGAAATTTGAATTTAATTATAGAGTTTCATAACTTTAAATCAAACTGGCATCAAAATCAATACAATCTTCATCAGGTGATACAAGCTCTTGTACAGGTGCCACATTTACAGTTAGGTAATCTTTAAAAAGTCTGAATGTTATTTTATTTTATTTTTTAAAAACTAAAATTAAATGAAAAAAATTATAAAACAATGGCTAATTGTTGAACAACAAATTTTGCTACAACGTTTTCCCTCTACTTTCATTCATCTGACAACACTTATGCAACATTTCCCACAGGTGGCACAAGAGCGCTAATCATCCTCCAGTTTCCACTACGCGCCTTTTTTCTTTAATCTCGCTGATGATCTGACGCTTTCTGACGCGTTGTATTTGTGTCAGGCGCTGCGGCCCCCGGTCGTATAGGGGTCCATTGACGGGCAGACTGGTTAAAAAGCGCTTCAGCCGCTGTTGTGTCATGAGACGGGTGAAGCGCTGTCAGTGCAACAGAAGGAAGGACGCAACACAGTGACAGTGTGTCTATTCGCAACTCCGTCCTCACTGAATCTTTGCAGACTTGTGAAAACTGGGACTCTGCGCGGTCGAGAAGGAACTTTAGAAAAGCAACTAGCCAACATTTTTTTTTTTTTTTAGGTTTGCGTTCATTGATTCAATTATTGTCCGCTTTCTCTTTCAGTCTTGGGATAATTTATTGAAGAAAAATAAGTCTAATAGACTTCTATTCTATTTAGGGCGTTTTGAATTGACAGTATTCAGACTGTTTGTTTCATAAACAACACTGGCAATATTAGTTTAATTCGTGTACAAGTCAGATCGGTAGATGGCCTATTTATCACAACTTTGGCTGCTATAACCGACTTGTCATTCAAACCACCCTAGGCTAAAGAAAAACTGTGCGTGCGCATTCTATACAATTGTATCTCCGTTTTTAATTTAATTATCTTGCTCATTGCCATCGAATTCAAGATGATGAATGCTATGGTCATTCTTGCAGAGTTCTTCGTGGTCATCTTGAAAGTGCTCTGGGCTTTTGTTACCGCCGGGTCGAAATGGGTGGTGCGGCCGAAGGAGAAGAGTGTAGCGGGACAGGTGTGTGTTATCACCGGGGCTGGTAGCGGTCTGGGGCGGCTGTTCGCTAAGGAGTTCGCTCGGAGACGGGCAGTATTGGTGCTGTGGGACATCAACAGCAAAAGCAACGAGGAGACGGCGGAGTTGGTACGGGAAATTTACCGGGAGCTGGACAGTGAAACCCCGATGTCCAAAGATGGTGAGTTCGTTGCCTGAAAATATCTGTCATCCGATCCTTGCAGCGCTGATTTTTCTCCTGTAGGCTACTGTATAGAGCTCGTCAGCTTGATAAAATCGTGTCTGGTCAGGGTCACCCTAGATGACATTGTTTATTCTATTGATCGCAACACTGTACTTACAAGATTGTATCTTGTTTAAACATGAATGTTTTTAAGCCAACTATTTACGGTCGACTTTATAATAGCACATTGCTGCAGCCTATTAGATCGGTTGCTGGGCAACATAATTCTGCGGAGAACTTAACTTGGATCAGTAGCCTGCTCTGGCTCTAAGGTCCAACAGCTCCCTGCTAAAGTCCATCGTTATCTCTCTCTCTCTCTGTGTGTGTGGGTCTATGCGGTACTAGTGTAAAGGACGTCACGGTGCTTGCTTAGCGAGTACCACTTCCTCCTGATTCGGCTCAGACAGAAGCACGCTCGAACCCAACACCGCCGCCTTGCTAACGCGTTACCGCCCTCCTGAAGCGCCTTACCAGTCCGGCGCCACGCGAAAAGTTAGCTAGTCACTGGCGCAAGTGGGGACACTTCAGGCTGAGTAAGTTTCACACATCCCCAATGGGCCTACACGGGTATCCTGACATTGCCTAAGGGGAGAAAATGTATAGGGTCATATTTTAGCCTTAAAGTTATTTTTCGTTGGCTTGATTTGAAATGTTTTATTACTTTGCTCTGATTTCAACTGCTTTGACTGTCTGTCTGCACTCCAGAGCTGCTCTGCTCCCATGCTGTGGTGTGGTCCATTCTCACTCTCCCTCTCCCCTCCCTCTCTCCAGGAGCAGTTGGAGGACCAGAAGAGGTTCTTCCCTTCCAGCCGCAGGTGTACACGTATGTGTGTGACGTGGGCAAGCGGGAGAGTGTGTACTCCACGGCGGAGAAGGTGCGTCGGGAGGTGGGAAACGTGGACATGTTGATAAACAACGCCGGCGTAGTCTCCGGTCACCATCTCCTGGAGTGTCCTGACGAGCTGATCGAACGCACCATGCTGGTCAACTGCCACGCACACTTCTGGGTGAGTCCTCCACACCTACTGTACTGTCATCCCTGTCTCCTGTTCCCGACACCTACTGTACTGTCATCCCTGTCCCCCTTACCTACTGTACTGTCATCCCTGACCCCATCCTACTGTACTGTCATCCCTGTCTCCCATACCTACTGTACTGTCATCCCTCTCTCCTGTCCTCCATACCTACTGTACTGTCATCCCTGTCTCTCATACCTACTGTACTGTCATCCCTCTCTCCTGTCCTCCATACCTACTGTACTGTCATCCCTGTCCCCCATACCTACTGTACTGTCATCCCTGTCCCCCATACCTACTGGACTGTCATCCCTGTCCCCCATACCTGCTGTACTGTCTTCCATGTCCCCATACCTGCTGTACTGTCATCCCTGTCCCCATACCTGCTGTACTGTCATCCCTGTCCCACATACCTACTGTACTGTCATCCCTGTCCCCATACCTACTGGACTGTCATCCCTGTCCCCCATACCTGCTGTACTGTCTTCCATGTCCCCATACCTACTGTACTGTCATCCCTGTCCCCATACCTGCTGTACTGTCATCCCTGTCCCACATACCTATTGTACTGTCATCCCTGTCCCACATACCTACTGTATTGTCATCCCTGTCCCCCATACCTACTGTACTGTCATCCCTGTCCCCCATACCTACTGTACTGTCTTCCCTGTCCCCATACCTACTGTACTGTCATCCCTGTCCCCCATACCTACTGTACTGTCATCCCTGTCCCCATACCTACTGTACTGTCATCCCTGTCCCCCATACCTACTGTACTGTCATCCCTGTCCCCATACCTACTGTACTGTCATCCCTGTCCCCCATACCTACTATACTGTCATCCCTGTCCCCCATACCTACTGTACTGTCATCCCTGTCCCCCCATACCTACTATACTGTCATCCCTGTCCCCATACCTACTGTACTGTCATCCCTGTCCCCATACCTACTGTACTGTCATCCCTGTCCCCCATACCTACTATATTGTCATCCCTGTCCCCCATACCTACTATACTGTCATCCCTGTCCCCATACCTACTGTACTGTCATCCCTGTCCCCCATACCTACTATATTGTCATCCCTGTCCCCCATACCTACTATATTGTCATCCCTGTCCCCATACCTACTATACTGTCATCCCTGTCCCCCATACCTACTATACTGTCATCCCTGTCCCCCATACCTACTGTACTGTCATCCCTGTCCCCCATACCTACTGTACTGTCATCCCTGTCCCCATACCTACTGTACTGTCATCCCTGTCCCCATACCTACTGTACTGTCATCCCTGTCCCCATACCTACTGGACTGTCATCCCTGTCCCCATACCTACTGGACTGTCATCCCTGTCCCCAATACCTACTCTGATCTGAATCACCTTTATTCCCCAAGTACATTTACATGAACCATGAATTTGACCTGTTGAAATGGTGCTGTTCATAATGAACAGAATATGCAAGCAGAATGTACAGACATGGAATTTACACATATTCCACATTCAGTATGTACAGTCCCCTGTCCCCTGTCCCCAGTCCCCTGTCCCCTGTCCCCTGTCCCCTGTTCCCAGTCCCCAGTCCCCAGTCCCCAGTCCCCAGTCCCCAGTCCCCAGTCCCCTGTCCCCTGTCCCCTGTCCCCTGTCCCCTGTCCCCTGTTCCCAGTCCCCTGTCCCCAGTCCCCTGTCCCCTGTCCCCTGTCCCCTGTTCCCAGTCCCCTGTCCCCAGTCCCCAGTCCCCTGTCCCCTGTCCCCTTTCCCTGTTCCCAGTCCCCTGTCCCCAGTCCCCTGTCCCCAGTCCCCTGTCCCCTGTCCCTGTAAGCGTACTCCTGCCACAGCCTAGACCTCAGGTTCACTCTTTAGTGCGCCCACCAAAAGTAGACTTGATCAACAAACGTTGACATTTTATGAGGGTGTTTAAAGTCCGTTTGTCACCAGTGGGTGGTAAGAGGTAATTCACCTGATCGCTGTATGATTCATTGAAATAACTTGGCCATGTTTGTCGAGTATAAGGACCCGCATAGTTTAAACATCCATTTATTCATCTAAAGTATTTACTACTAAATCTACTCCAGTCTGTAATAACAAAGTGACATCATCTGTTCTTTAGAAGCTCTCCCCTAAGCTCATCTCCATCACACACCCACACCCACACCTTCACCCACACCCACACCTACACCCACACTCACACCCACACCCTACACCCACCTACACCCACACCCACACCCACACCTCTACACCCACACCCACACCTCTGCACCCACACCTACACCTAACCTGGTCTCTGTCCATGATCAGTGATGACCACTTTATCCTGATGTTTACTGCTCTGCCAGCTTTATATGAATGCCTCTTCATAATGTGTGTGCCAAACTCTGGTTAATTTAGGTGTGTTTGTTAATTTAGGTGTGCTTGTTAATTTAGGGGTGCTTGTTAATTTAGGGGTGCTTGTTAATTTAGGGGTGCTTGTTAATTTAGGGGTGCTTGTTAATTTAGGGGTGCTTGTTAATTTAGGGGTGCATGTCTGGTCTTCCTATGTGTGGAAAGTAAATGATAACCATAAACAGTTCCTCTATCTTCAGTCTGCGCAGACAGCTCTCCTCTCCCAGCCTCAGAGAGAGAGAGAGAGAGAGAGAGAGAGCTGGGTTTGGTTTGATGTTACAACTGAAGGCAGCTGTTTGGCAGGCAGAAAAAGAGCGGTTGTGTCTCAAATGATACCCTATTCCCTACATAGTGCACTACTTTAGACCAGAGCTCTATGGGCCCTAGTCAAAGGTAGTGCACTAGGTAGGGAATAGGGTACCATGTAGGACGCATGCACTTTTACATTTGTTTTCCCTCTTCCTCGCCCTGCCAACATGAATATTTATCTTCAAGACTAGATGTGCCTCGGCGAGGACGGAGAATGTGCACATCTCTGTCCTAGTTGTAGTGGCGAGGATGATGATGATGATGATGATGATGATGATGGGGATATTTTAGAAAAGGTTCGCAGGCAAACTATCTGCACCGTCTAAACAACTTGGCCTGAGCGACGGCTCCTGTGGTGCAAACACACACAAACTGCTTGGCCAGAGTAGTTAATTAAAAGCCCATTGAAAGGGCACATCCTGTCTGTGGGGGGGGGGATGTGAGGGGGGTCGCTTGTTTGTATTAGGCCCCATGACCCCCCCCCTCTAATTAAGCTCATGTTGAGGAGATGACCACCCCTGTGGTGAGGCAGTTGTGATGTGGGGGGTGGGTCAGAAACCTGCAGAGAGCCAACTCACTCTGAAGAACCAGGAGGCTTTTTATAGCACAGCTTGGCTACGTTGCGTTACAATCACAATCAGACATATTTGTTTGTTTGTTTGATGTGGTGGTGATGAAGGATGCGTTGACTGATCGGAGTGGGTGTTTGTTTGTTTGATGTGGTGGTGATGAAGGATGCGTTGACTGATCGGAGTGGGTGTTTGTTTCATGTGGTGGTGATGAAGGATGCGTTGACTGATCGGAGTGGGTGTTTGTTTGATGTGGTGGTGATGAAGGATGCGTTGACTGATCGGAGTGGGTGTTTGTTTGATGTGGTGGTGATGAAGGATGCGTTGACTGATCGGAGTGGGTGTTTGTTTGATGTGGTGGTGATGAAGGATGCGTTGATTGATCGGAGTGGGTGTTTGTTTACTGCTCCCTGATGCCACAGGGCTTTGAGTGGAGAGACACTGTCTGTTTCATTCTCCATGACACCATAGGATGTGATTCTATAAATTGAGCATGAACAGTCTCTTGTCTGTCCAATGTGCCATGTAGGAGACAGGTTATAGATTCCCTCTCCCCAGCTCCACTCCTCCATGTAGGAGACAGGTTATAGATTCCCTCTCCCCAGCTCCACTCCTCCATGTAGGAGACGGGTTATAGATTCCCTCTCCCCAGCTCCACTCCTCCATGTAGGAGACAGGTTATAGATTCCCTCTCCCCAGCTCCACTCCTCCATGTAGGAGACAGGTTATAGATTCCCTCTCCCCAGCTCCACTCCTCCATGTAGGAGACAGGTTATAGATTCCCTCTCCCCAGCTCCACTCCTCCATGTAGGAGACAGGTTATAGATTCCCTCTCCCCAGCTCCACTCCTCCATGTAGGAGACAGGTTATAGATTCCCTCTCCCCAGCTCCACTCCTCCATGTAGGAGACAGGTTATAGATTCCCTCTCCCCAGCTCCACTCCTCCATGTAGGAGACAGGTTATAGATTCCCTCTCCCCAGCTCCACTCCTCCATGTAGGAGACAGGTTATAGATTCCCTCTCCCCAGCTCCACTCCTCCACGTAGGAGACAGGTTATAGATTCCCTCTCCCCAGCCCCACTCCTCCTCAGCTCTGTTACTGTTAGGTTATGTCTCAAATTGCACCATATTCCCTATAAAAATTGCACCCAGTAAGAAATAGTGCACTATATAGGGAATAGGGCGCCATTTGGATCCAGCGGTGTAGTAGTCTGTATTCTCATTAGGGCTTCTCCTGCTTCTGTTTTCTCTTGTTCTTTGAGGTGTGTGTGTGTGTGTGTGTGTGTGTGTGTGTGTGTGTGTGTGTGTGTGTGTGTGTGTGTGTGTGTGTGTGTGTGTGTGTGGTGTGTGATGAAAGCAGGGCCTAATGAATATGGACAAACCAGCATGTCAGAATGGAGGCTGTGGTTCATTAAAGATGCCAGCCGGATGAATAGAACTTGGACCTGTCTGGCCGAGTCCCAAACGGCACCCTACTCTCTATATAGTGTACCACAGGGCTCTGATCAACAGTAGGGAATATGGTTCAATTTGGGACGCGACCGTCCTCTCTTCTCTTACACAAACGCATGCAAGCTGCTGCTGCTGCCGTAGAACACCTGCATGGAGGGAGCGATCACACAAAGCTTTCCTATGTGTTGGGTTGGTAGGCTGCAGCTTTCCTATGTGTTGGGTTGGTAGGCTGCAGCTTTCCTATGTGTTGGGTTGGTAGGCTGCAGCTTTCCTATGTGTTGGGTTGGTAGGCTGCAGCTTTCCTATGTGTTGGGTTGGTAGGCTGCAGCTTTCCTATGTGTTGGGTTGGTAGGCTGCAGCTTTCCTATGTGTTGGGTTGGTAGGCTGCAGCTTTCCTATGTGTTGGGTTGGTAGGCTGCAGCTTTCCTATGTGTTGGGTTGGTAGGCTGCAGCTTTCCTATGTTGTTGGGTTGGTAGGCTGCAGCTTTCCTATGTGTTGGGTTGGTAGGCTGCAGCTTTCCTATGTGTTGGGTTGGTAGGCTGCAGCTTTCCTATGTGTTGGGTTGGTAGGCTGCAGCTTTCCTATGTGTTGGGTTGGTAGGCTGCAGCTTTCCTATGTGTTGGGTTGGTAGGCTGCAGCTTTCCCATGTGTTGGGTTGGTAGGCTGCAGCTTTCCTATGTGTTGGGTTGGTAGGCTGCAGCTTTCCTATGTGTTGGGTTGGTAGGCTGCAGCTTTCCTATGTGTTGGGTTGGTAGGCTGCAGCTTTCCCATGTGTTGGGTTGGTAGGCTACAGGTATATAGTAGTCATCCATACCAATACGCAACAACTAACCATTAATGTGATTTCGGGCTAGTCATATATAGTTGAGTAGGACGTTAACTAGTTTGGCGCTTTTAAAACTTTAAACTCAAAGTGGTGTTTTTATTTCTTCCGGTGTTTTGTCAAAAAGAACAGATTCAAATCAGGGGAGAGAGTGGTTCAGTTCTTGTTGTTGAGGGATTGTGGGAGATTGCTGCTCGAGTCCTTCCCAGCTCTGCTGCTTTCTCAAGCCTGTCATCTCTCTGCTTGGTCATAAACAGCCTGTTGTCTGTTCTAAGGTTTTCCTGAGGAGGAAAATAGCCTCCATTCTGCATATTTTCTTTCCACAGCTTGTCTAGCATTAGCTTGTTATTACATCAACTAATATCCTGCAGGCTGGCAGTAGCTTTGCCCACCCAGGGTAACAGTTTGCTGCCCCGAAATAACGTAGTCTGGCCTCCCCTTGTGACATAGCTATCACATCTCTGCATCTTTGCACTCTGAATGACGCTTAAGTCTGGCCCTTAAGAGTGAAGTTTGAAGTCTTCCACTCAACCAGCACCAGCCTCCCGTCTCCTCCCCCCTCTTCTCTTCTCTTCCTCCCCCCTGTCTGAGATCCAACGCCACCTGGCAGGTGGTTCACTGCACTGACTCCATCTAAAACGCTCCAACGTTGTGTGGAAACTGGAGGGAGACTAAGGGGAAAGAAAAGTCCAGATGGGAGAAGGAGAGTGTCTGAGTGGGAGGGTTTGCCTGAGTGTGTTGTGGCAATGGAGCTCCGATGGAGACGTGAGCAGGAAGTGGGTGGTTATTTAAGCATGAGTCCTGCCAGACTGTTAAAACACAGTGCTCTCCTCCATGGGTCCCTGGTGGCCCCTGGTGGCACCTGATCCCCAAGGCCTTATTCAGAGTGCCCGGCCCAGGATGGGAGTCACCGGGTCCAGCTCTGACCATTCGGTCACGGATCAGCCGGCACTGACTCAGATCCCTGGCGTTTTTTTTTTAAGGGAGGTGGAGGGGTGGGGACCTGGGGGGGTTACTTTTTAATTGACTTGATGATGCCTGATAACTCAACAGCTGGCCTGGTAGTGTTAAGAAAATGAGAGTAGATGGACATGGATCGTTCTGGCTAGAGAACAGAGAGAAGGTAGAGGTTTCAGGCTTGATTCATTCCTCTTGTGAATTAGGTTTAAGTAGTGGAAATAACTATAGATAAGTCCCTTATCACGATCTTGATCAGGGTATTCTACAGGTGTGTGTGTGAGTGATGCAGTGTTCCTTTCCTATCTCCCTGGAGAGTTGCGT